CAAGATTCCCTGCAAATAAGGAAGAGATGTGGAGGCTCATTTAATGTTTGAATGAGAACCATACTCCAGGGACCCACTAGCATGCAGCCCTGACATCTCCCAGTTGGCAGGCTGGTAGCCTGTGTCTGTGATTGGATATGGGTTTTTTACAGCTGCACTTTTGGCAACAGTCTACAAAAAAAAAAAAAAAGTTTGACTGGCAAGAAACCAGCTCTTGCTTTCTTGGCACTCTCAGCGAATGGCTGAATCATCTGCGTCCATTCGGCAGCGCTGGTGGGGAGAAGCAGCTAAGGATGAGCTCACGGTCCACAAGCTGCTGAGATACCGTGTTAATTCTTGCAGCACGCACTTCTGCCGTGCCTGTGGAGAGCTGTAACTAACGATAAGAACGAGTCGCTGTGAAGTAAGCAGGCAGAAGGAATTCCTGGACTCTGCTGAAAAGAGGAAACTCCCAGACTGCGTGGCTCAGCTTTGTCAGTGAGGATTTTCGGAGGGTATTTGGCGCTTGTGAAATGTGTGAGGCTGGCAGCTCCGGTGCCTGAAGTCCTGTTTATTTACAGAACAAGCAGAGCGCGAGCTTTCCCACACCACTGGGCTTCGAACCTGAGCTGCAGGGGCCTTGTCCAGACGAGGGGAAGTTTGCACAAATTGTTGCTCTCGCTCCCCTTACTGTGTGGCATGATGCTTCCAGCATCACGGTGGGCAGAGGAGAGCGTGGCTGCCATCACACTGCTGTTCCCTCTCCTGGGCGGGAGGTGGAGGTGTGGTGGGCAGGGGCGCAGCTGACATGCACAAGCCGAATGGGAAATAAGCTGTGCTGGGTGCATGACTGATGCAGCTTCCCCCATGCAGCAAGGGAAAGGAAGGGAGAAAACTGTGACTCCAAGTCATAGCTCAACCCCTGCTCTGCTCCTGGATAGCACAACCAGGTGCTGCCCCTTCCCTGGGGCAGACGGTGACACTGCAGCCTAGCCCTTTGGCATTAGATGGTAGTAACAAATGCCCTCTCAGACCCCCCCCCCCATCTACGATGGAAATCAATGGGCCTGATTCCGATTTCACACCATTTTTACATCTCCATTGACTTCAACAGAGTGACTCCTGATTCACTCTGGGGTAAATAGGATCAGGATCAACTCAGTGGGTCAGGTTGGGTAGCTGTGACTCTATATGACCATCTTCCATCTATTCTGAAACTTGATTAATTAAAACAAACAAGCAAATCCCATTGTGAAATGGGTTATAAATAAAAACGCGTGAGCTAAGTTCTCTCTCTCATCTCGATCCTTTATCACACAGCAGTGTGCTATTTGGGGGACGAGTCCCAGCCCCGTGGAGATCCTGTGTAAAAACCTCGGAGTTTGAGACGTGCCAGGAACCCTCATGTTTCAGGGCCTAGGCCAACCTCTAACCGTTGGAGGCTAGGTAGAAATGTTCTCTGGGGATAAGTTATTACCTATCTACTCAGGGCAGAGTTTCTTTGGCTGAAGCAGCTGGCACAGGCCACTAGCAGGGCCAGCTCCAGGCACCAGCGAAGGAAGCAGGTGCTTGGGGTGGCCAATACAAAGGGCCTCCATCCGCTATTGGGGCGGCACGGCCAGGTCTTTGGTGGGAATTCGGCGGCGGGTCCCTCCGTCCCTCTCTTCCTGTTTGAGCTGCTGCCAAAGTGCCGCCAAAGAGGAAGAGAGGGAGCAAAGGACCCGCCGCCGAACTGCCGCCGAAGAATGGGGCGGCGCGATTGAGCTGCTGTCGATCGGCTTTTTTTCTTTTTTTTTCCGCCGCTCAGGGCAGCAGAAAACCTGGAGCCGGCCCTGGCCAGTAGGTTCCATTAAGAATTAGGAGTTTGAGGGATAAAGTTTTCCCAGATGGCAAAAGCATCTTTGGACTGTTGGAAAAGTAATCTGCTTTATGACTGTGTGTGTGTGTGTGTGTGTGTGTGTGTGTGTAAAAAACACATTCATACACATACACACACATATATTATCCACCAACCCTGCTCCAGTTAAAGATAATGGCAAAAATCTCCCAGGAACTTCAGTGGGAGCAAGGATTGGGCCCTTTTATCTTTACATACTTGGTCAGATACATAAAGAGAAATAACCACTTGGAAGTTCCAAAAATATTTACAAGCTGTGTGCCTCGTGCCCTATGCGATTACTGTCCATACATCTCAAGGTACCAGTCTCGGGGAGCTCTAAGAGATGGCTATGCAGACTTTTTAAACATTCTCAACTGATCACAAGAACAATTCAGTTAGAAACAGATTTCTTAGAACCCACTGCAGGACAGGAAAAAATGTTTCTTTGGAGAATGAAGGTGCCTTGGTGTGTAAAACATAAAATTCAGTTAAAAGAATGGAAATGGGTGAGCTCCCTGACAGAGCTGATCATTAAGGTGGGTTTAAATATTTCCTTTCAAAATAAAGAACGTGGGCTAGGCAGCATTTCAGCTTCTAATGACTTTCCACAGGGATTAGTGGACACACAAATGTTTTGTGTGTGAAGGACAAAGAAGAAAATCTTTCCACAAACTTTCCATGTACCCAGGTCACTGAATCTCTCTCTCTCAGAGCAGTGGGAAATGCTGACTATAATAATGTAATATAATCCAGAATGGCTTCTGAATAAGGCCATCAGCAGTGCAGCGGTGGCTCCTACATTTGCAAACTGTGCACTCAAGTGTGAGCCGCTTTGCAAGGCAGCTACACAAAACCAGTGTTTTACATTCAGCTGCTAGACCACCGTTTTCATAATAGCCCCATGCTATGTCACCGCTCACCCTCAAAACTAATGAGAAAGGAAGATAATATGTCATTATAAAGCCAAAACCAAAACAAGAGACAGATTCTTCTCATTTCTGTTTATGGAGTAAAATCAAAACAAAGTGTTCTGTTGCCTCTGAGAAGCTGGCGAGGAGATAGAGGACCACACACACGTATACACACCTCAAAAGCTTCAACCTCCCAGGGGAGCCATGGGATCATAGGAAAGAAATCTAAAGTTCAAAGACATGTAGCAAAGTATATGCCTCTCTGCTGTATCTCTGTAACAAATACTTGAAAGTTTAACCTTCCTCATTTTGGACAAGTAGTTCTGTAAAACTCTCAGACAGCTGTACACCCCTTAGCCTCCCACTCTTCTAACTGTGGAATAAATTGTCTCCATTATGCTGCCAGTTTGGAAACTCACTGGGACTTGTCGTTTACACGCAGCCTGACCAAGTGTCATTAATTGCTGGAGCTGTGTTTGTCCCAGGATATGAGAGAGACAAAGTAGGAGAGGTAATATTTTTTACTGGACCACCTTCTGTTGGTGGAAGGGACAAGCTTTAGAGCTTCAAAGAGCTCTTCTTCAAGTCTAGGGGAGGAAAACAGAGTGTCTGAGCTAAAGACAAGTTGGGACAGATTGTCAAGCTTAAGGGGTTTACCACGCTATAGGAGACCATTTAAATTTAAAATGAAGTGGGCAATTAAGGGTTAGCAGAGAGTGGGGTGTGTTACAAAGAGTTGTGATGAGCCATAAAATCAGAGTCGCTGCTGAATCCATGGTTTATTGCATGAGTCTAGCAGAGCTGTGAATTTAAGTTCCCAGGCTTGTCTTTTGAAGGTGTTGTGTGGGTTCCTTTGGAGGATGAGGACTGAAAGGTCAGATGTGGGGTGATCACTTTGAATGGGTGACAGGGTGTTTGGAAGCGGGTCCTGGCCTGGACCCCAGAGCAGAGGCTGGGACTGGGGTCTCCTGCCAGTCACAGGGAAGGGGGCCTACAAGGGTGGTGGAGCCCAGCAGGCGGAGCTGAGGAAAAGCCCCAGAAAGGGTGGAAGGATTTTTGTTTCCGTTAGAGACATTTTTAGACTTTTAGTTCGGGATGACTGGGACCCGGAAAGGGTGCACGAAAGATGGTGTCCTGGCCGCAGGGCCGAGTTACTAGGCAGAGACACAGTCCCAGTGCTGGCGTGACCACTGGCAGGGGGCGCTAGCCCAGTGAGAGAGCTGTGATGTCTGGCCGCGAGGGGGCACCTCGTGGTGAGTAGCCCATTACACACATCCTGAAACAGGCAGACTGATCACCAGAGCGAAGGAGGAGAGCATAGAAGAAAGCTGTGGAGGGAATGGAAGGCAACCTGAGGGAAGAGTGACTGATGACCTGGCGTGCTGACTTTGGGGAGGGGACAGGCGAATCATGGATATAGATCAAGGAACAGCATGAGCCCTGCCCTGCATGCTTCAGGGATCTGCTGAATGAGGCATTTCCATGGAATCTCTCAAGTCTGATCCTCTGCGAGTTGCTTGAAATTGTTTTTTTAAAGTAGTCTTGTGCAAACCCAAATACGGCAATTTTATGTTTGTTCAACTTCTTTAAAACTCTTTTGTCTGAATCAACCAGAAGGCCCTGAAACCTCCAGACAACCAGCATGGTAACAGGACACCAAGTTAAGAGGAAAAAGCTGATAAAGTGCAGACTCCAAGCGCCTGAGCTCCACAGGGGGTCTGGTCTGGATATTTATGACCCCAGCAGCTGTTTCTGTGTTACAAACCCACTGAAACCTAAGGCCAAGGAGTTTCTGAGACAAATGTCAGCAAACTGTTCTGATGTGTATTTCCTAGGTTGTGATGTAAAATGTGGCCCAAATGAATTATTTTGTGTTGTTCCCTTTAAACATGATGTTTATAGAGATTTGGCCAGAACCGGCATGTTTCAGACCTATTTATTGGGGAGGTTACACTGTTCCTATGAGAACTGGACCTATTCTGGTACCTTAACTGTGACGGTAACCCCCAATGATTATGCAAATATTTTAGCGTGAGACAGTTCTGATCAGTGGACTAGCTAATCAAACTGATTTCAGATGGGATGTGCTGTACCAGAACTTTTTGCTTTCGATGTGCATGGAATACTTTACAAAAAATCACCTCTATTCCACTTACTATTGTAAAGCAGTGTGTGAGAGCAAAGCTACTGGCTTTAATCGTAACATGGCATGAAAAGGTCGACCAACTTACCTGTCCCACATGTGGCAGTGCAGTTAGTCCAGGAGCCGTATCGCCAGAAAAACTCTGCGGGCTGAATCTCATTCTCCTGGTCAGACTCCCTTCGGATAGTGTACTGGTATCGAACTCCTGGGTTCGTCTCCTGGAACAACAGCTGTGAGGAGACAAAGTCACAGCTCATTCAGCAACGTCACCACTTTCTGTTGGCATTGATTGGGCTTTTCGGCATCTATGATAGGTCAAGACATTGCTATGCAGCAGCATAACATACACACACATACTTGCGTGCAGCACAGTGATCTGGAGAAGAGAGTCCTGTTCAATACACAAGGCCCTTGGCGTTGTCTACACAGCAAAGACAAACCTGCGGCTCGATGTGCCGGCTGACTTGCGCTTGTGGGGGCCGCCGGGCTGTTTCCTTGCTGTGTAAACTTCTAGGCTCGGGCTGAAGCACGAGCTCTAGGCCCCTGCAGCGTGGGAGGGTCTTTACATGCTGAAAAGCTCAACCAGAACATGCCGATTCTGGGCCAATACTTTGAGCGGAGCTACTTCATTGACACTGGTGTACATGAACTAGAGTGACCAGATGCCCCAATAGTATTGGGACCATCCTGCCATTAGGGCTTTGTCTTATATATGTAATTATACCTCCCCTCTCCCCCCCCACCCCCCAGAAAAAGTGTCCTGATTTTTCCCACTTGCTATCTGGTAACCCTAAAATGAACTCAGAATCTGGCCTTTTGCCTCTTGTTCAGGGGATCACTGGCAACAAATCTGGCATTACTATAGAGATGTCATTCCATGGCTGCAGTAAAGGAAATGAGGAGGTGGGCCTGGATAATGCATAAGCATAGGTTCAAAGGCCAGGAGGAACCATCATGATTATATAGTCTGACCTCCTCTATAGCACGGGCCATACAATTTACCCAGCTGGCCAAGCGTAGCAAACTTATTATACATTGATTCACACAGCACCTATTGCAAGCAACAAAGTGCTTTCGAAAGTACAAAAATAAAGTGTTTATAAAGATCACTTCTCCTGCCCCACCACTGAGCTGCAGCCATCACAATTACTCCAGCAACACTGCACAGTAGCTTTAGAACAGGGGGAGAAAATTAGCAAATCCAAGTGAAGCAACAAGGAAGTTGCGGTAGGTGCAATGTAATTAATCCAACGGAGACCTACTCACATCCATGGGCTCACACCTCTAGTTTTGTCTTCCCTCCTCCCCCATAAAAGTGCCATAGGACCTTTGATAAAACCAAAGCCCTGACAGTCTGGTTATGTTTTATCTGACAGACCTCACCCCTCCCGCCCCCGGAACCCCAGTGCCTCCTAGCACCACATCAGCTTAGTGAAGGTTGGTGGTGTTAAAATTAGCCATTGCAAGGATATTATGGCTAGGAAATAGTTAAAGGCTTTCCCTTCTAATTAGAGATGAGGCCAAGCTGCCAAGTGCAGGCCAGATCAGGACTTTCCCAAAGTTCTTGGTCGTCTGGTTCAGTTCCTTATATAAAGGGCAAGCCATGAAGTTCAGGGCCAAGCTTTTCCAAAGGGGAGAAGGGTTTTGGCTCCAGAGTGCGGGCTGAAATACATCTTTAGTTCCAGCTGGATGAAAGGAGAATGGGAACAGGCTGTGTTAACTGCAGACTCAGTAGATGACCTCTTCCTCACTCTGTGGAATATAGCAAACTTTTGCGTGGGCCAGAGGGGAGCTATTGGATGGCTGCATGATTACCTGACTCTGGCTGCCTGAAGGCTAGTTCGTGTAAATTGCTTTTCCTGAGATCTCCATTGAGGAATTTTATAAGTGATGGGAATTTCTGAGCTGCTGGCTTTTCCTGGCTCTGTAGGCGGGACTGGCTGTTGTCACCCCAGAGAAAGACAGAGAAGAAATGCTGACGCTGCAGAACATCAGGAAAAACACTGTTATGTGTGAACCTTTAAAGCTGACTTGTCTTAAGACGGTGTGAGAAGGAAGCAGGAAGGGAATGCAATTAAAGTTTGTATTTTAATAGGTGATGACAGAGAGACAGAGAGTGGGAACAAAAGCCTTCTGGCAGCAGCATGTTCAATCTAGAAGTCGTTGCTGTGAAGCATTTGAGCTGGTCAATCACAAAATGAGGCCTTTGGTTACATCTTTGTTGGAGGAGGTAAAATACATTTGTTTTTAAAATAACTCTCTGGGCCTATGTCATTTCCACTGTTGAACATCTGAATAAAGTGGGTGGCTCACACTACTGACTTGGAGACAAAAGTGCCACTGACTAACACCATTTCCTGAAGCACCTGGGTTTTCCCTGGAGGTCTCCCAACCAAATACTGCCCATGCCCAATACTGGTTAGCAAATAGAATCTGTTGAGACCATAGCCCCTGGTGATATGGCATCAAGCAAAGAGTCAGCCTGGTGTCACACTGACTTGCAATGGTATAAGAATTGCTAGCACAGAGAGATGGAAAGTAGTGGAGATGAAATAAGTACCCAGAACAATCTTCAGTTAGCAAAAACACACTTGAAAAAATGTTATGCATTCCTCCCATGTGAAATGTGGGGCTCTTTCTCTGCATGACTGAAACGGATTCACTGGTTAATATAAATTCAATCCAAGCTGCCTCACATACCAATCAGCAGGGCCACAGCACTCATGAAAGCTTGTGGGCTTAGCCTTGTTTTCTTAGCCTAAGTGCTTCCATTATCGCCAAAGCTCTGTTGTTCTTGGAACTTTGGTGCAGCAGAGGGCTTCCTTCCAAGAACCTTCTGATGAATAGTGAAACCTCATTGTCAGAAGGTTTTAATTAGGTTACAAATCCCAGGAAGCTTTCCAGAGATTTTCTGGTGTAAGGCATTCTGAATGGATAACATTAACAAGGGAAAACGATACTGACAATATTAGGACAAGAAAACTTTATGATTTCTCTTATTCTTTCTAAAAATGTATTAACACATCTGCTTACTACCCTTTCCATCAAAGCAGAGAACATGGCCAAAGTACCATAGGTTGCTGCGTACCTAACCACCACTTCTAACCCATCATGGTAGACTGGTAGCTCCAACATGCAGGAAGAGACACCTAAAGGGAGCATGAAGTGCCATCAAGAGCGTGAAAATACAGTGTTAAGAGGTCTTGAACCACTTAGCCAAACTCTATAAGGGACTAGGAGGGTTCCATAACATGGCAGCAGTATCAGGCACTTCCTATAGTTAATATTTAATTAAATATAAGCTAAATAAATAAAAGCCACTGGCTGGATTGCCAGGGTTACGCTGCCTGAGAGTTTGGCCAATTATGCAAAACTTCTTTTGTGCCATGAAGCATAGCATAGACCAGGGGTCGGCAACGTTCGGCACGCGGCTCGCCAGGGTAAGCACCCTGGCGGG